TATTTATTTGAGAGAGAGAATGAGATAGAGAGAGAGAGCACGAGCAGGGGGAGGGTCAGAGGGAGAAGCAGACTCCCTGCTGAGCAGGGAGCCTGATGCGGGACTCGATCCTGGGACTCCAGGATCATGACCTGAGCCGAAGGCAGTCGCTTAACCAACTGAGCTATCCAGGCGCCCCCACCCTTCTCAGTCTTCTCCCCAGAGCTCCACATCCCCTGCAGGTGCTCCTATGTGTCCTAGACCACTTTACCTGATGGGGCACCGCCCACTTCCCGCACCCCAACCCTGTCTTACTATTCAGGCCTCCCAATCCCACCTAACTTTGCTTAAGGTTAGGGTAAATCACCTACAACACAAATTTCTTAAAGCCCAGGATGGGGACGCTGATGTTATAGTCTTCCAGTTCAACCCCAATTCTTCTTCGACCCAGGAACTTGAGCAACCCTCCAAGTGCCCGAACCTGGGAGGGGATCAAGAATGGAGTTGAGGTCAGTCCCAGTGTCCTTGAGGCTGGACGACACCAGGGAAAACTATTATTTCCAGGGTTGGATTAGCACCTCCCAGGACTCAACCCTAGAAATGGGGTGCTTGTCCCTTTCTCCAGCCTGCTGCATCCCAGCCCCTGCATCCCAGGACCCTTCTCACCGTGAGGAGGCAGTCAAAGGGAATAATGGAGGAGAGGAAGAGGATTTTCTCAGTGGTAGTCATGGAGTCTGGAATGAAGGCGTAGTTTCCAGAAAGGAGGCGCTGTTTACTTATCTCCAGACCTATTTTGGGGGAGGCATGGGAAAGAAAGGTCACTTTCTCACCCCATTTTAAGAATGAGACAATACTCTCTGACAAATAAGTAAATAAAATCTTAAAAAAAAAAAAAAAGAGACAATAGAAGCAAGAGATGATGTGACTTGCCAAGCTGCCACAGGCAGTTAGTGAAAAGCTGAAACAAGAACCAAATCTTCAGACTCAGTCTAATTCTTGCTTTATTTTACATTTAATATAAAGATCTTTGGCTGAGAGCACAACCTGAGAAAGATAAGTGACTCAGGGAGGTATCTATTTGGGATTCAGGGTCAAAAAGATCATATTAATAGGGGAATGAATAATACTAATGTTTTAACATCTAATTAGGATAGAACATTCCCTATCCTTTTTGCAAGCCTGGGAAGGTTATGGAAGTGCCTTATGGATCATCAGAGTCAGCCTTTTTTTCTTTCTTTTTTTTTTTTTAGAGACAAATGGTTTTGTCTTTTTTTTTTTTAAATTGGTGATTTTAACTTTCAAATGGCTTTGTCTTAAAGGTGAAAATTCCAACAATCAAAGCTATCCACCAAGTGTCACCATTCCTTCTCAGCGAAGGCCCTCATTCCTAGACATGTCTATGTGGAAGTTTCACAAGGTTTCAGGTTATTAAAAAGTAGGGAGCAGGAGAGATCTTGAGGACACTGGTTATGGGGCTTGGAGAACACCAAGGGTTAGGATGAGATAAAGCTGAGGGGGAACTTCTGATGATGGGGCTGGAGTAAGGAGAAAGGGTAGGGAAACTGGGATGGGGGGCTGGGCAGAGCAAAGGAAGTACCAAAATCCACACTTGGCAAAAATACGATTTCAGGTCTCTTAGGCTCTCTGTGCTCCTGGGAGGCTGTGGGGGAAGCAAAGAAAGGGCCATCAGTCTGGACATCTCAGTCCCCTGCTTCTGTCCCACCTTCCCTCTCACCCAATTCTGGCCTCCTGGCTGTAGCTCCCTCCAAGACCCTTTAGTCTCCTGGAATATTCCACAGTTTAGTCCTTCCCCATTTTCACTTTTCCCCTTACCCAGTCCTTACCAAGCTTCCCTAGAAACCGAGTCATATTCTCATCCTGTTTGGCACTCGTAACAACAGACCGGGGATTGATTTCATCCAACACTTAGAAGAAGAATGGAGACCAAATGAGTTAAAGGATCTTTATCCTCTAAGAGGGAACCCATTGCCCTCCCCTTGCTACCTCCCTTTACCCCCTCCAAGAAACCCCCCAAAAAACAAACAAAAACCACCCTCATTTCCTCCCTCTAAAACTAAGGAGTGCTCTGCACATTGGGAGCATAGGTACGAGTCAGGCATGAAGTTTTGGAAAAGAGTAGTAGGACTGGCAGGGTGGTAGGAGAGAAGAGGAGTGGCCTGGAGGTTGTCACTAGACTAAAAACCTCTGAAGGACAGACATGACTGATTTGCCCAGGACTGTATGTCCAGCACCTGATACACTGTAAGCACCTAATAAATGTTCCTTGAATAATGCAATGAATTCCTATAAACAACAAAGAGAGCCTCTAGGAGTCAACTAATAAAATAGACTGAGTCAGGTGAGGATATATGAGTGAAATACACCTCCAGTCCCAGAGTAAAGGAACCCATGGTTCTGCCCCCACCTCTCTCGAGAAGCTTGAGACTCTCGTGATCTGGGGCATCTGGCATGAAGTGGATGGTGGAGTCACTAGTGTCATAATAGGCAATGCCCAAGTATCCCGAAGTCCACAGGACACACAGATGGATCTGTCCCGGAGGAAGAAAGGAAACATATTTGAACTGCTGGGTTATGCAAGGTTATGCCATGTCTTGCTTAATTGTAATCATTTTATCAAATCCCTGAGACAGTCATCCTCATCCCCATTCAGTAAGTGTGAAATAGAGCAGAGAAAAGCGACTAGCTAGCTCTTCCCAGCCCGTTTATTCTAACACCCCGACGGTCCAACCAACGCCCCGCTCTCCGGACCCATGCGCCTGTCGCTCGCGACAACACCGCCCCAGAGACCTCCGCCGGCTCCTGCTCGTTCTCCTCCTCCTCGGCCTCCCCGCGGCCCGGCACCGGGGCCAGGCTGGGAAAGCTGGCCGAGGCTGCCCCGGGCCCCGGGCCCTGCGGCGTCCTGCCTGGGATCGCTCCGACGGAAGCCATGGCCTTGGAGGCTCTGCGGGAGCAGAAAATGAAGGCGGTTCAGGGGCGAGGTTTCACCGCGAGGAGGCTGGGGTAGGGGTTGCGCAGAAACGCAAACCCACCCAGGACTTCAGGGAGGCGGCTGAGGCGCAGGGCTGCGAGGGCCGGGGAGAGCTGCGGTAACATTTTTTTTTTTTTTAACATTTGTGGAACATTTTGACGGGCGACTTCTCAGGTACGTCACTGAAGTCCAGACTGTGCAAAACTCCACTCGCCCCACCCTCATTTCGGTCACGCAGAGGTTGGGCTTTGGCTGGACGGCCCTGTGGGGGGAGTCTGCACCGCTCCTCTCTCCGCCACTACCAACCACACCCCCACGGTCGCAGCCCTAACCTCTAGACTTTCCCCCCTCAGCCGCCGACTACTCGCGGCGTCTTCCCGCGTTTTCAGTCACCTGGGTCGCTACGTGCGCGAAACCGCGTAACTAACAGCCTTGTGCCCGCAGGAGAGGCATACCGGCGTGAGGACGGGGTGCGCGCGCACACGCCCCGCCCTTCTTAGCGGCTATTGGTCGGAAAGATCCGGATCCTGCCTGGAGATCCAACCGAGCGAGAGAGGGAATAAACAGTTGCTGGGACGGCTGGACACTGATTGGCCCATCCGCATATGGGGCGGTGCTAGAACGTTCAAAATTCCCGCCTGTGCCGTTGCTTAGCACTTGGGCGACTCGCCTTCCGGGTTTCTGGGCTTTGATTGACGGGAGGTGGAGCCTGTGAGAAAGTCGGAAGCGGAGCTTGAGTCAGAGCCCAGGGAACTGGTCTAGGGGTGTTGGGGGAGAGCTGGCTAAAGGGGCAGAGGCGAATTGCATTTTTTTCTGGAGAGTGGAGATAAGCAACGTTAATTAAGCCTGTGCCAACAACTCTAAATTAATATTTGTACCCACGACGGACGCCTGGCTGGCTCGGTCGTTAAGCGTCTGCCTTCGGCTCAGGCCATGATCCCAGGGTCCTGGAAGTGAGTCCCGCATGGCACAGTAGGAAGCCGCCTTCTTCCCCTGCCTTTGCCTGCTGCTACTGCCTGCTGTGTGTGCTCTCTCTCTCTGACAAATAAATAAAATCTTAAAAAAATGTATTTGTACCCACTAAGTTCATATTTATGAAAACTTAGGACAGTGCCTGGTAAACTAGTAAGAGCTACTACGTATTTCAAATAAGTAAGCAGAAATAAGTGAGACTCCTATCTTAGTCCTCCTTTGCCTATTTCCTTGGTGCAGGGTATGACCACCCCCACGAGGGCACTACTGGGTCTAATTTTAATTTTGGTCTCCCCAGAGGAGGTAGAAGCATTCAAATTACACAAAATTCTGGTAGAAGTAAGACCTGATAGGGGCGCCTGGGTGGCTCAGTCGTTAAGCATCTGCCTTCCGCTCGGGTTATGATCCCAGGGTCCTGGGATCGGGCTCCACATTGGGCTCCCTGTTCAGTGGGAGGCCTGCTTCTCCCTCTCCCTCTGCCCCTGCTTGTGTTCCCTCTCTCTCTGTCAAATAAATAAATAAAATCTTAAAAAAAAAAAAAAGGTAGACCTGATAACACCTACACCCCCGCTGAGACATGTCTATCCACCTCTGCAGGTGCACAAACACCCACACCCCTAAAGACAGAGGGGTGTCATTCATTCACCCAGCAACTATTTAGTGCCTACTCTGGGCCAGGTGGTAAGACTCAAAGTACTGAACGTTAATTAAGTATGGGTTTCATGAAGCTTACTTTTTAGTGTGTGTGAGAAGAGAAGCAAGGAAATTGTGAGGGGGACAGAAATAAATACATACTTTAAAAAAACAGATCCCTTGGGACGCCTGGGTGGCTCAGTCAGTTAAGCGTCTGCCTTCAGCTCAGGTCATGATCCCAGGGTCCTGGGACAGAGTTCCACATTGGGCTTCCTGCTCAGTGGGGAGCCTGCTTCTTCCTCAGCCTGCCACTCTCCCTGCTTGTGCCCCCCCCCGACAAATAAATAAATAAGATCTTTTTTAAAAAATAAATTAAATAAAAAATAAAAAAACAGATCGCTTAAAATGCATCTTCCTCTCCAGCTTTGTCCTAAGGTACCCTGAGATGGGGCGATCCCATCCAAGAGGTTAGAGAAAATGGTGGGTTAACCTGGCTCCGCTAAACGATTGGAAAATCCCCTCTAGCAAGAAAGGTAGGGGAGGGAGTTAAGGATTAGGTTAATGGTTACCCCTGGCAAACTGTTGAGCAATGGTGCTGTGGAAACCTGAAAGAGACCATCACAACTCTAAGGCGTGTCAGGGAGGCACACACCTTCCAATCTGGGGTGAAAACAGATTAGGGACTGGTTTACCAAGCCAAGGAAGGGGAGGGAGTGAACAAGAAGCCACCCTTTGAAGGAAAGGGTAGATACTGAGATAGAAGGGTAAGGAGAGGAGACCGCAGGAAAACTTCTCTGATGCAGGATTTGGGGGTGCAGCCCCGGGGGCACTGCTGGATAGTACCAGGAGAGGGCAGCATTACCTGTCATCTGGGAAATTAAGGCGAAATACCTTGTGGGTAGCCATGCCAGCCAGCCAAAGTCAATATTGATGATCAAGCCAGCTTTACCCATAAAGCTGTAGGAGAGAAAAAGGCAGGAATGAAGCTGCCAAAACCTGTTTGAGCTCAGGGCTGGCCCCATTTGCCTGAGGCGTCTCCCAGAAGGGAGATCTTTGTGTGGCGGATTCTCTGATGGACATTGATCAGCTGGAACAGAAGAGGACCCTAAGAATAGGGCTGTTTTGACCTCTTTTCCTCAGATGCCCTGTGTGCAGAATCTGAGGGTCACCCATGGAGGAGACCCCCCCCCCCGGCCTCCACACACACTCATGGAATCATTCTACAACCTTACAGGATCTTACAGTTCAAAGGAACAAACACTGAATATATCTCCTCACTGGGGAGGAGAGAGATAGGCCTTCCCCCAGGGAGGAGAAAACCCACAGAAGAGGAAGCAGGAGAGGAGAGAGGAAACCACTAACTGCTGGTTTCCAGCAGCACGTCTCTCACCCCACCCCAGTCCTCCCCAAAGTCTCCCTTTCTTTAAGTGTCAAGGCCTGTTTTGCTCCTCTATGTCCTTGCACTCCACCGTGTTTTTCTGGAACTGTAGGTCTCTTGTTAGACAGCAGGTGATGAGGAAGAAGGAGAAGGCATGGTAGGGAAGGAGAGAGATTCAAGACATGGAGGCTGGAATATGTCCAGTTTGGAGGACATACTATTAAGCCATTTTTCAGCAGATCATAAAGAGTTTGACAGAACCTCCAAAAATCAAGCTACTCTTCCTCTACCTCCCTACTTATTTATGTGTGTCCCCAAGGACTCCATTTACATTATTCCATCTGATCTTTGCTTTTTTTTTCTTCCATGACAGGACTAGCTACCATTCCCTCCAGAATCAGTGCAGCTCTATTCTAGGGCCACAACAACCCCACCCTTCCCCACCATTCTCTCATCTTCAACCGATCAGTGAGAAAAGGGCTAGGGGCACAGGAAGGGTCCTGGTATGGGCGCAGAAGTGGAAGCATTAAAGCTGACTACGCTGCTGAGGAGGAGCAGACCTCCCCCAGTGAGGAGGCCCTTTGGCTCAGCTTCTTGTTTCCCTAGCAGGAGACCTGGATGTCTCCCCTCCCATCCCCTGCCCTATCTTTCACCACTCTCTTCCCCCAACCTCAGCATCCACTTCCAAGTCCCTGTCCTGCTGGAGTCTGGAAGGAACGTGGGAAAAGGAATAAAGGACCACCTTCACATTCTAAAATTCCCTCCCTGGGCCCTCATGGGCTTGATCAAGCTGTTGGTGTCTTGTGTGAGGGTGGAGGGGGAGTGTCCTCTGATTAATGCAGCAGGGAAACTGAGGCAGGAAAAAAAAATCCTGTGTTCAAGGAGACGGGTGGAGAAACAAGGAGGTTCCCAGGATTCCCCCTCCCTAACACCCCCATCCCTTTTCCTCTAGGAGACCTGAGGCTCTCCCCTCTGCCCCACTCCCGAGATCGTCGAGTCCCGCCCCCCTCCTGTCCCCTCCCCAGGTTCAGGGCGGGGCCGGTCGGTGAGTCAGCGGCTCCCTGATCTAGCCGGGGAGGGGATAGAGCTGGAGGGGCGGGGTGTGGGGTTGTAGAATGATTCCCTGAGTGTGTGTGTGTGTGTGTGTGCTGGGCTGGTGGGGAAGCCGTGTCTCGTGTGAGCGGGTCTCATCGGGTTTGTGTTGCGCTGAAGGGCCAGCCCTAGGTCTGGGGGAGAGAATCCCTGCCTGTGGGACCCGCCTTCCCTGGCCCGGGCCCCTCCCAGTTCCCTCAGCGCCGGCCGCTTCCTGGTCCCCGTCGCAACCATGGCTGAAGAACAACCTCAGGTTGAATTGTTCGTGAAGGTAGGAACACCTTCTCGCTCCTAGGCCAGCCTCCCAATTCCTGGAAGGCAACTCTCACCTTTACCCAGCTCCAGCCTTAACTCCCCAATCCCTTCCCTCCTTGACCCCCACCCAACCCCACGTGCAGTCTGCAGTGTGCGCCCTGTTGTGGGGGGTGGCCTCGGGAGGGGAAGACGATTGTTGTGGGTGCGGGTAATGAGAATTCTGTGCTCGACCCTGAAAAGTTCGTAGAAGTGCAAGTTTTCAGCCCCCTAAAGGGCCGGAAGGTAGAGAGAAGGTCCCAGGAGTTGAGAATATTGACGAGGGTGGGGGTGGGAGGGACAAGCTGATGGAAAGACTGGGAGAGAAGGGGGCAGTGGGACCCAACAGGGTTTGGGAGGGTCAGAGGGAAACATCAGGACAGGTGGTCCTACGAGAAGACCAAAGTGAGGGGTGTCTTGGGGGAGACTTGGAGAAGTGCGGGCGCGTGTGTGGCACGGCAGGTTTCAAGGAAGAGGGTGTGGTGAGGGAGGCTGCGGGGAGATCCACGGGGAAGGACTGGTGGGGTGGAAGGAGATGGGAGAGTGGGAGTGGAGTTCTAGCAGCCCGGCCGGAGAGGGGGTGGGCCCGGAAGGCTCCCCGGGACTTGGAGAAGCGAGAGAAAAGAAGGTGACCAGATGGGAGTTTAGCTGGGGCTACCGGGAGGATAGGTGGGGAGAGGGATCAGAAGGAGGAAGAGACCTGGGTTAGGGTGTTTAGGATTTGGGGGTTTTAGAAACAGGAAAAAGAGAGTCCCCCAACTCAGTCCTCTCTCTGTGGGTGTGGATGAGGAGCAGTGGTCCTTTGGCCTTTGGAGATGAAAGCGCGACAGCGGACTAGCGGACTTCACTCTTTCTGCTCTGCTCCCCTCCCCACTTCAGGGGCATTCTTACCCAATCCTGGACCTCATCTCTGCACCTCCCTCTCCGTCTGTGCCTCCTTGTTTGCACATTCTCCCCACCCTTCACTTTCCTGCCTCCTTTCTCTCCACTACCCCCTTTGTTCGTCCTTCTTTGTGCGTTCCTGCCGCTTTCTCCCTCCTCGCTGCTTGGGGCTTCTGGGGGAGCCATTCCCTCTCCCTGTGCCCAGCCATGCCTG